CATGCTCAGTTAGAGCATGGTAGCGATGTTTGGAAATCTCCAGCCCATCACATTTTTCGTTTTCTTGGCCACCACAGCCAATGGTGGCCACCCGCCTACACGGCTAAAAAAATAGATTTTAAATTTTAAATAATAATTTTAAATTTTAAATAATAATTTTTAAAAAGATATAAATTTTTCACTCACCTGCTCCTCTGCTCCTACCATCACTACCATCACTACCATCACAAGCAACAGTATGAACCGCGACATCACGATGGGGAACTGCATCTTAAATAGGAGTATTATTCAAAGAAACGAAAATAATGGATAAAATAAGAAAAAGATGATAAGAAAAAGAAAGAGAAAAAAAAAGATAAAATGAATCAGCTAAAATCGCTCTTGGCATGGTTTGCCGGGAAAGAGCGGCAATTTCAAAGAAAAATGATGCGTTTTTTTAAATAATTAGAGAGAGACATACCAATTATGATCATTATTTGCGGGAAAGACAGTTGTATTTGTCATCTCCCTCTCTCTCTCTCCTTTCTCTTTTCCTCTCGATTCGGGAAAAAAAAGAAAAAACTGAAAGCACACATTAAACCCAACGCGAATTTTTGAATTTTTTTCTTTACAGTTCGTAAATTGGACGACTGTGGGGAAGAAGTTCTGTTGTTCTGGAGGTTTGTAGGTTTGTGAAAATTTCTTTCATAATTTTGAAGATATATATTGATTTTAGGTTGCCAATGAATCCAGTGTTTTCCCTCTCCCTCTTGTTTGCTTTGTTTCCTCCACAGTAAGCGATTATACAACGGTCAATGTATATTATACCATCTTCAGTTATGTTATCTTTAATTACATATACAATAAACTCTTCTGCCATCTTCATGTTTTCATATGGATTCTGTTCTTTTCTCCTTTCTCATGAGGGTCAACTTTGCATATAACTTGGTCATTGCGAACGAATATTGTGCTAGCTGTTTGTTTCTTCTGCATTTTGAACCATTTGTAAGAGGGTTTGTCACTGATTGTTGAGTCAGAAACATGTACAGATTGAAGGACTTCGTCTTAAATATCTTCATTTTACACTTACATCTACTTTCAACTGTTTCTGTTTCCTCTACCTAATACTCTTGTAAACAGTTATTCAATGGCGCATCTACCATCAGTTCTCAGTGGTCGAGATATCAATTGGTGTCCTGATGGACGAGGTTTTATTTTCCATAATGTTTAAATCTTGTAAACAATTACAGCTTATCATCCATATTGTCCGGGACCTGCAGACCCAGATGGATACAACTATTGTTGTACACACTTCTATCTTGGAAGCAGCAAGTATGACAATTTGATCTCAAACTCATTCTTATCAGCTAATTATTCGAAGACCTTCGTGTTGTCGATTTCCAATTCATACTGGACTTTTCGTTTCTCTTATTATTTGCTCACTACCTCTAGCTATACGTAAGTTTTTCACAAAAAGTCTTTTTTTAAATTGACCTGACCTTTGTACCTTGGGGGGTCAAATCGTATTACCGAACAACCGCTCCAATCGTCGTTCTAATGATGATATGAGCTGTCCGTGAATCACGTGTGAGTACGCCTACGTAGAAGATACAAAAGAATTACGTGTAAAGATGGGTACAGCAGAGCTGCTGTTGACGTGGAAAGTCAACGTGAGTCACGTGAGAAAGTCATCTAAAATGTTATCCTTTTGAAACAAGAGAGAGAGAGAGAGAGAGAGAGAGAGAGAGAGAGAGAGAGAGAGAATGGGATAATGAGATGCACAGATGGATACATTGAAACAGATTGTTCTTTTCAGTTTTTGTTTTCTTTTACTGTTGGTGCTGGCCATCAAGCCATTGGAATCGTAGACGACTACTGCGAACAGCACAATAGAAAGATAAAGTAAGTAAGCTTAAAGTTCTTTTTCTTATTTGGAAAACAACAAACCAAAGTAAATATATATTTTATTTCAGCCATTAATTTGATATGAATAAATATATATATATATATATATATCTATATATATATTTACAAAAATAGAAGATTCTTTTAATTGTTTTAAAGATTGGTTGGAGGAATCGTTGTACATCTGGAAAGACTGCGCTCTACTCGAACACCAAAACGTAACCTGCACAAACGCAAAGCAATTCAATTATACTTTTGATTGAGATGTATGCTCAACTGACCGACATAAATGCTCTTTCTCTACCCGTTTGTAACCCTTATATAGAATCATTGACACTTTAACTGTAATGATGAATACGAACAGAAGGATAACTCCAGTAACGACGAAGAACTCGGCTGTTGTTAGCACGTCTATGATAGGAGTATGAGCTGCTCCACTGCTAATGGAGTATACCTATTGGACTACGGTACTGTACAAGATCGAATGCGGCCAATATCGTTGCGATCCACCAAATAATCACAAGTAAACCTAATGTAGTTACACCTATTAACTATAAAAGGAGATGATTAACGATATCTCATAAGACGTTCACATACTTGAAATGTTAAGAACGGTAATAGCAGCCCAACCTGCTCTCTCACTGTTCCACAAAAATACAAAAATGAAATGACTGCATGAAACAGAAAAATACCTAAACAAGAGTTGTGAGTTAGAAAAGATTGCCGAAGGTCTGTTACCCGTTAATATACCTGCCAACATGTTTCCTTCTCTGGATTCCAAGTATTCATATACGGCCAGAAGGAATTCGGATACTGTTATACAAAATGAGATGAGCGCACAACTCAACTATAACGTAATGGTTAAGAGAGGCAAAGGTAGATGAGAAAGAGAAACTAACCCTAAGAGTGGGCTTATATCGTCCACATCCATGTTCATAACTACGTATCATCTTAAAAAAGAAGTTTATTGCATAATTAACTATAAGGAACATAAAATATTAAATTGTATGACTAATGAGATGGACATTCCTCCCACATAGACATCACAGCATAAGAAGAGAAGAAGAAGCTTCTTCGTTGCAAATGAAATAATCAAAAAACGATTATGCGAACATGGATTTGAAAAAAACGAATTTCTTACATTAACTCATTGTTTCTTGGTCTCTCAAACGAATTCAAATGATATAATCATATATAGACCGAACAAGCTAGTATATGAATCAGATGGCTCAAAATTCAAATTTGCGTTTCGCCATTTAAACGACGCAGTGAGAAAGAGCATATTCAAGCTTAACGGACGCCGACAAAAGATGAAAGTAAAGGAACAATACGAGCTCGACGAGAAGTTTTCTGATTTACTGCAAATGATGAAAATCATAAGGATATTGATTAGACCGAATTGAGAGAGAAAGAGAAAGAGATAGAGAGAGAGAGAGAGGAGGAGTGTGAGTGAGAGGGAGTAGAATGCTCATGGAATGCTTCGAAAATTGCTGTAATGAAATGATTTTGTAAAAGAGAAAGATGACAGAAATGGAAGATGAATCATGTTCGGAAGCAAGCCAATGACATTTGAGAAGTGAAAAAATGAAAAAAAATGTTTTTATAAACTGAATAGATTGGTATTTGAAGAAGAGGGAGAATGTCTGCAAACGATCTTTATGAAGCCTTGGGGCAGAGCAATGAGATGTGGTGCATGGTGCATGGTGGTGATGTTGTTAAGAAGGAAGTTGGTAGTAGAAGAAGCAACTAATTAAATCTGTTAGAGAGTAAGTTACTCTTGCCTTCCATATACGGATGTTTGCATTTGTTGCTTATTTTAGTCAAATCGATGAATAAAAATAGAACATAAGCAGAGATGACGAGGATGTTTGAGGAGGTGAGAGCGAAGAAAAAAAAACAAAAAAAAAGCTGAAATCTACGTTAATTCGGGAAGTTAATGCGAATGACGAGATGAAAAGGAAAGAGTAAAAGCGCCTGAGGGTCTTGAGAGTTAGAAAAAGCGATGTGGAAGTCGTCAGTTAGGTGTAATATAATAGCTTTTGAGAGTGAATCTAATAGATGGTTATGAGAGTCAAGTACAATCTCCTTTTATGTATATACACTATGCTGTAAACTGAAGTAGATGGAAGCCGGATGAGCATGTGAATGTTTAGAAATAGTTTTAAGCTGCTTTTAACTATGTGACGACGAGAAGACATTATTATAACAATTACAGTGAAGAATGGAACGTCATTAGAAAATCTGAGACATCTGAATATCTTATGATACTACTGCTGATGATACATCTAGCTCATTCCTCTCATGAACATCAAAAAGCACACGAGGCCGGAAGCGAGAGAAGCATGAAAAAATAGTTTATTTGAAGAAGCAAACGGAATGATCTGCTTAGCCACAGCCTTGGAAGAATGGCGAGAGGGACAACAGCTGTTGCTAGGAGGAACGATGAAGCTTGCTGGATGACCTTATGCTATCGTCCTAGTTCTTCTTCCAACATCAGTTTCCGTCGGATATGACGACGATGTGCTGCTCCTCCTACTTGGATGAGCGTTCACACACGAAAGAGGATTCACCACAAAGAAACAGAGACAAAGTAAAATGAGAAGATAAATCAGTTAATGTTTGCAAATGGATTGAAAGGCGTTTTCTGTTAATTCGTTGAAACTTCAGCAGCTGGTATGAAATGCTTTGATAGTCTCAATTGAATTTGAATGTAAGCTTGATGAAGATTGGTGATGTTAGAGCATCTTCAGCTTTTCGATCAGCATTGCATTTCAATGCTCACAAGCCTGTCGGAAGGACAAACCTTGAGGTCTGCTCAACGTTTATGTAAGAGAACCGTTTTTCAGGTGACAGGTTGCAAAAATCATCAGCAAGAATGTAAAAATGATTGTGAGAGGGACGTCAGTAGAGAAACATCTTCTAATTTGACTATTGGATTACATTTAAAATAGTTCTGAGGACATTTATGATTGACGGATCATGTGTAAGCGTAATGTGATCCTGTGCTTCAAAAACTATGAAGAACAAAACTGAAACAGATGGAAATAGACGCTGTCAACTAGACTCTTCTCACACCAATTATTTCATACAATCTACAAACACTTCTTTCTCATCTACTACAATATGAAACATACGGATGCTTGTTGAGCTTTACGTCTTAACAATACCAATCGGTCACTGCCTCCTATTCTCTATCCTCTGTGTCTCTCATTCTATGTTCTCGTACTCTATCTATGAACCTCTGTTTCGGTTACCTCTCAAAGAACTTTCTTCCATTTTATAAATTCTATAAATATTTATTGCACTTTCTCGTTCTCGTTCGCAACAAGTTTCAATCTTGTACTCAAAGACAGAAAAAAGAAAAGAAACGTTAATCCCTTTAGCTTCCGACGTCAAATTGATAATCCATGCCAGAAAAAGGAAGTGTGAGGTCCATAAATAGAGAGACAGAGAGAGAGAGGGAGAAGAGATATTCTTTAGGAGATGAGAGACGAAATAACGCGTGAAAAGCAGGAAGCTGGGGGGAAATGTGTTGTGATGAAGACGACAAGAGACAGTGAACTTCATAAAGTTCACCAAGAACATTGAAGCCAGCCTGACTGACTGAACGAGAAGAAGAAGAAGAAGAAGAAGAAGCTGAAACTAGAAGCTTGTGGTAGAAGCTAAAACCAAATTATTTTAAGATAAAATTTATAAGATAAAGCTTATGTTTACATATCATCGTCACCTGTTGAACGATATTGAACGACACCTGATTAATAGAGTTAACTGGAGAAAATGAAAAAAATGGTGGAAGAATGAGAGATTTTGAGTGAAGAGAGTTAGAATGAGATCTTGTGAGATGTATTAATCTTAATCATTCCGTCCCTACAGAATAGATAATACCCCCCCCCCCTCCTCCCTCCTTTCCTCCTTCCTCCACATACACACATACACACACACACATGCATAGTATGTATACACATAGAGATATACAACCACAAACTATATTATATGATTCTCTATGATAGAACTATAAGAAGCATCTTGATGGCGCATATTTCATTTACGAAATCTCATGAGACTAATTTATTAGGAAAAGCTTCTTGTTTTTCTTCTGACACTGCACTATAAGAAGCAATAACTTTGAATAATTCTGACTTTCGTTTTTGTCTTTGTACTTAACAAGTCAAAGCAGTTGTGAACAAAGTTGACACAAAAAACATCTCAAAGCGACAAAAGCAAACGATAGACAGAGACATACTGAGTGAGAAGAAGAAGCACAGAGGGAGACTTCACAGAGGGAGACACAAGTTGAAAGCTTCATGTTCTTCATGAATATTTCATTTTATGTTTCTTTTTTTTTATAAATGGCTGAGACACACTATCATGGTTATCACGTTATCGGATGTTTTGATAGAATGCAACCGGCTCGTCAACGAAATCTCACATCAAATGAACCTTCATCACATGCTCACGTGCATATTCGTTCACGCATTCACGTGGAATGACGTGAAATTGATGGAAGAAGGATAAGAACTGATTTACAATGTTTATTCCATATATAGTAGAAGGATGAATAAAAATCTTTGTTGTTGTACGTTGTTAATAGACAACCACTGTATACCGTTGTGAGAGAGGGAAATTGAGAGATAGAGAGAGAGAGAGAGCGAGAGCACGAGATAGTACAAGTGGAGATGTCAATTTCCCTCTCAAATAGTAATTCTGATAGATTTTGAACAATCAATAGAAAGCAAGAACAATTCAAATTACCCGGGTAGTGTTGTAGAATATCATATTTGTAAATTTAAAAAAAATAGAAATTTAACATCATCACATTAGAAGAAGTATGTTCAAAGGGTGGCTCAGAGAATAAAGAGAGAGAGAGAGAGAGATAGAGAGAAAGAGTAGAAAGGAGTAAGTAAAGGAAGATGAGAGAGAGAGAGAGTTCATGATAGAGTTGATAGTGGGATTGGACGGAGATTCATCTATTGAAGGCATATAATCGTCGTTTAATCATCGAATTCTGAATCTAAGTCTGGACCCTATAAGTAGAGATGGCATAGTTAACAGCATCTATCATATAATATAACTTTACATTTTGTATTTTATAATCCAACATTCGGAAAAAATCAGCTTGACTGGCGCTTTCTATTTCTCTGAAAATAAATTATTTATTATAATATTTTTTATTTTTCAAAAAGAAAAAAAAATATAAAAAAATAATAAATAACGGACCCTATAGGCTTGTTTGGCACAGATAAAGCTCCGCCTGATCCATTTCTTAAAAATAATTTAAAATTAAATAAAAAGAATGAAAGAGATGTTATTACTTTGGTACATCTAACGTTCGATGAGGAGTATCTCGTCGATGCAGCGATGAATTGCCATTTGTTACCAAACCTCTCTTCTCTGATGATAATCCTCGATTTTTGGCTGATATCGGTGAATCTGACTACACAATAACAATACAAGAGAATATGTATAGAGAGAGAGAGATAGAGAGAGAGAGGGAGAGAGAGAGATGTGTGTATGATGAAGTGTATTTGCTTTTTTTCTTTTCTTCATTTCACATTTTATAATTTAGAAAGACCAACCTTCTCGCAAAGTTCTGTAGAATCCGTACGCGTCAAGCGGCATCCCATATCATAATATTATCATCAACTATAAATATTCTGATGAAAAACAAAATTCTTCTTCTTCTTCATATGAACATTCTATAAGAATGAAGAGAGAGAGAGAGAGAGAGAGAGTAAGAGTGAGAAAATGAGATAGAGAGAGGTGAAGATGTATAGAAAGCATGAAGCTACGAAGACAACTTTCTTAATTACTTTGAAGGCAATTATGGCGCCAAAAAACGTTTGAATAAATTTGGGAAAACGAATGGAATGTTTGATTAATTCGTGTGGAAAGTTATAAAACACGGAAATGTCAACAACAATAATGATTAAAATGTAAAATAAACGAATTTGAGGGCTCAAACGAGCTTAGCTTAGAGAAGAGAGTGGAAGAGAGAAGGAGGAAGGCAGTTGAGGTGAGAAAGGGGTAAGAAGAGGAATGGTGAGAAGAGGAAGAGTGAAAGAGAGAGAGAGAGATGTAAAGGAACTGTCATACGTGTTGAGAGGGAAAGTTTCTTTTTGAATGCTTATTATTGGAATCTGTTCTCATCACACACAAATATCCAATTAGTGGCAAGAAGTTAAGGAAGAGGAAGAAAAGGAGAAATCAAATTACAACATGAAAGATGAAGATGGAATTTCAAAATCTGTTTTTCCTTTCTCATCTCAATTGGCTGAAATTATCGAATCGATAGATGGGGCAAATTCAGAAATTGGAGGAAGAGAGCCTCAATGATGAAACAATGAAACTTTCGAGTTTAACTGCAGAAATTAGGTTTTTTTGGAGAAGCTGAAGCTGTTTGGGTAAGAGATTAAAGGGAACGCGAGTTGCACGAGTTTGATGTCACACGGAAGCAGACTAGAGAGGTAGAAACTATCTGGAACCGAGTTGCAATTTCAATAATGTGGGAGCTTGAAAAAAACGAAAAGCTTAAAGAGATGAGAACAGAACGACATTAAGAGAGAGAGAGAGAAAGGTAGAGAACTTCAAAGAGAGAGAGAGAGAGAGCTAGAGAGTGTTAAAGTGAGGAATAATAAGGATGAATGGTAGAAAACTGAATAACTTGTCATGAATGACAACTCTAGTTGTATATTATTTGTCATTTATTTTTCTTTTTTGAACTCAAATGGATGATGACAAGGAACTGCAATGAGTTGGCTTTCTCAACAAATCTGAAACAAACACACACACACACATACGAAGGGAGAGAGAGAGAGAGAGAGGGAGAGAGAAACGCAGATGAGTTCGTAATCATTGGAAGGAACGATATAGACGTCAGCTTATATGCTTCATTAAACGAAGAAAAAAGAGTAAATGAACACAAACACAAGGTCATTCGACCAAAAACGAGTCAAACATTATGAAATCCTAAGGCTTTGAAGTCCAAATGCTTTTGCTCTCACTACAGGTTACATCTCCAGCTTTTTTTGTTGTTTTTCGAAGACGAGCAAGCATCAAGAGCCTAGCCAACTCAAGTAGATGCAGCTCTCGGCAGTGAAAATACAGAAACGGATTGAAGCAGATTAGGCGCAGCAAGAATGAAATGTGTTGGAGATGTAAAGTGAACGGTTGCGGCTAAAGCTCAGTCAACTTGAAAGCGAATGAGTTTAGCGGATAGGCGCAGATAACTAATGGAAGTCCTTACTAAGAACTGAAAGGTATACTCATGTGAACTTGCCAAAATCCACTTGACGGATTGATTGAGTCATTTGTGAAATATTTCGAAACTGAAACTCATCAGAAGCATTTTGTTGCCAAATTTAACAAATGAAATTAGCTTCATTGAATTATGAGCAATGCTGTTTATGGGTATGAAATCGATGTTAAGCAGTTAAAACTTCAATTCAATAAGGAGAGGTTATTGAAATGGCAATGAAAGTTTAAAGAATAAGAAATTTCTGACATATCAATGTTATTCTAATTTTGTTTTTCATCTTTACCGCTTTACTACTACTCCTCTACACGACAATGAGAACGTTAAGCATATTTTCATTTTTGAACTTTTATTCGCAGAGAGCGGTTGCGTTCCATCATTCTCTCACTAATTTCTATTTTTTATCTTCTTTTCTTCTTTTTGAAGAATATTTTTAATATTTCGAATGAAATAGCCAAATACATTTTCATATTCAAGAATGCAAGGAGTCGAGACGGCATCAGCAGCAGTAGTAGCAGAGCAACAGCACAAGAAGAAGAAGAAGAAGAAGTAGCAGCAGCTGCAGCTAAGAATAAATGGCAATTTCTTGAAAAAAAAAGGAGACGAAGACGAAAAATCGCCATAAAAGGACAAAACATTGATGATACTCATTTGTTCTTCCAAAATATATTAAAATTCATTTGTTCATATGCTTTCTGGCTTCTCTCTTTCTGTCTTCACAATTTCATTTCATATTAGCTCAATATGCATTTTGAAATTTAGTGTAACGCCTGAGGCAGTGTTCTCTGGACTTGTCGTTAACACGAGGAGCCAAAAAAAAGAGAGAAAAAGAAAGTATTAGTCATTATTATGATGAGAGAGAGATGAAGAAGATGTTCATTTTGATCCAATTTTAGCTTCTTCCTCCAAAGCTCTTCTTCTTCACAATCTTCAAACGAATTATCGGATGATGAACGCAGAAAAAAAACAGGCAAAACTTGCAAAATACACTTCGCCTACTTCGAATAGCTCATGTAAGCTCATCGGTAATAATCAATTAACTCAGTTGGTGTGGTTAAAAAAGAATTGGAAGAAGAAAAAAACAAGTTTTCCAGTCTTTCAGAGAAATCTTACAAATCAGAGCAGGCTTCAGAAGCCCCGCATGTCAGTAGTCAAACTACGATGAACGACAACTTTAAGGAAGCGGACGTCGACATCAACGACGACTTCGTGAACGAATATGAAACATGGTCGAGCATAGAGGAGGAGATGGAAGACGTTGACAAAGTTGAAACGATGAAAGAAGTAAAAGAAATAACGGAGAGAACGACGAAGTAGGAGAGGAGAACACGACATCGTCAACTACAAGAAGTTGAAAAAGAAAAATAAGAAGAAGAGATGAAGCCGTAGGAGAAACTCAGAGCGATTGGAGATTCAGAGGACTAGAAATACAACAGATTGGCGAGTAGATGTGAAATAGAGAGAGAGAGAGAGAGTAAGAGAAAAAGAGAAATGATAGAGAGAGAGAGAGAGATGTTGATAGAGAAGCAGAGCTGATTGAAAGAGCTTGCAAGGAAGCTGGCAGGATAACTCGGCTCAAAAGATGACAAAATGACTCCTAATTAGGCAAATGTTCTGTCAGCGATTGCTTAAAGAAGTATTGACTTGTTAAGCACTATTAGAGCAGTTAGTCACATCAATTGAAGGCTACTTGGAAGAACTGAAGAAGAGAAAGGATGTTTCTTTTGAAATATTTTGAGATTCACAGCAGCACTTGAAAAGAAAAGAAAAAAAGAATAAAAAGAAGATGAAGTTTGAAACGCTGATAACTTCTAACTTCTGGAGTTGATGCTCTATCTCTTCCTCCCTCTCTCTCTCTCTCTCTCACTTACTCTTGAAGCAGTCAGTCATGTATTAGAAGCTCAAACAACATGCTTAGTAGGCAAATGAGAAAGAAGAAAAGAAAAGAGATGAATTGAAACATGCAGCTGATGATGACCTTTGAATAAGGAAATATTAATGTCAACAACAATATTCATTTTATAGTATTAAAATGGGCTTATGAGTTGATGACGGTTGCTCTCGTATGAACTTATCAGAAGCTCAGACGTTTCTAGTTTCGAATACGGAATAAGGAGATGTCTGGAGTTTGTTAAGTGAGACTAAGGAGTCACATTGATACTTGAACGGTGGATAACTGTGTGTGTGAAGCCTCCTCTCTTCCATCAAGCTTTTCCTTCCTCCCCCTCTCACTCTTTTTTTTTCTCTTACTCCCTCTCTTTCTCTCGCTCTCTCTCCTTTCATTCATTCTCCCTCTCTCTCTCGTTCTCTTTGAGGAAGAAGAAAGTTAGAAGATAAGCTCTGCTCTTCTGTTTCACATACATGTGCTTTTGCATCGGATATGTGTGTGCTATCGTCACAATCAAGTGGCTCATCCACTTTTCAACATAAAAACTTCTGTTCCCTCTACAAGACATGAATATTCTAATAAATGACCTAAGAAAAGAAATAAGAAGATGAATAAAGCCGTATAAAGAGATGAAGCTTAGAGTGTAAAGCAGATGCAAGAGTATAATTCAATTTGTTTCATCGTCCAATAGTATAGGAAGAAGAGACGAAGGGGGTGTGAGAGGAGAAGAAAGAAAGTATCAAATGAAAGTGATTATTTCATCATCTTCATTCGATGATGACCAAAAAAGGGAAGAACACAAATAGAAGAATGAAATGGTTTGTTTACCCTTGTCCCTCCATAATGAAAAGCACTGAAAATCAAAAAAAAGGAACAATTTTGGGAGAGAAGTCATGAAAATGAGAGTGAGAATGTTGATTTGGAACGAAAAGCTCAGCTGATTTCTCATCAATCGACGAGAAGCTGGCAAATCATGGTGCTTGAGTTGTGAGCGTGTGTGCGTCACATCAGAACGTTACATATGACGACGGAAGTTCTTCAATGCTGTTTCCTTATCAGAGAAGAGAAAAGACAAATAAGGATAGGAAGTAGCCATTTATCCAAAGAAAACATAAACACACACACACATACACACAAGAAGGAGAAGGAGAAGGAGAAGATGGAGAGGAGAAAGTAACAAGTTGTAGTATGAAATGCAAATATATTTCATTTGGTAAACGACAAGACTGATGTATCGAATTGGATCGTCTAGAAGGATTTCCTCTTAGAAATCGCTGTGTGTGTGTGTTGAAGAGGCACTTATCCTTTAGGGAATTACCTTACCCCCTACGGACAAATATGGACAATTCCCAACTGCTTCTACTCAGTAATCCAGCTTACATCTCTCTACGAAGGTCACACAGTTTACCAACAAAAATGACTTCGTTTCTCTCTCTCTCTCTCTCTCTCTCTCTCTCTCTCTCTTCACCCTCCTCTATAAGCTT